CAGTTCTCTTGAAATTTCTCCTCAAAGTAAACACTTTTCAAACGACTAAATTCTAAAAAAAAAAAAAAAAAAAAAAAAGAGATAAAAGAGAGAGAGAGAAAAAACTAGGAAATGTTTGGCAAGACGCTGTTCGCCAAAATACGTTTTTGAGAGAGTGATTCCAATTTTAGTTTGAGAGAACAGCAAGTTATTTTTAAAAATACTTTCGCTATTTTATGGCTTTATTGGCCGAGGTTACGCGTACGGTTGCCGTATTCGAATTATCGCGGTTAGGTGTACGGCACACATGCGCATTTCCGGGTAATAAGTACGCCGCCATCTTGTTTGTTTCGCCTCCAATCGGAGGCTTTTCTGCCGTACCAATTGTCACTTCTGTCCACTCACTTAACACTTCTCTGTACCACATCACACACTTCTCTGCCGTACCAATAGTCATTCTGTCCTGTCACATAACACTTCTCTGCCGTACCAATATCACTTCCTGTCCTGTCACATAACACTTCTCTGCCGTACCAATAGTCACTTCTGTCCTGTCACATAACATTTCTCAGGCGTACCAATAGTCACTTCTGTCCTGTCACATAACACTTATATCTGCCGTACCAATTGTCACTTCTGTCCAGTCACTTAACACTTCTCTGGCGTACCAATAGTCACTTCTGTTCTGTCACATAACACTTCTCTGCCGTACCAATAGTCACTTCTGTCCTGTCACATAACACTTCTCTGCCGTACCAATAGTCACTTCTGTCCTGTCACATAACACTTCTCTGCCGTACCAATAGTCACTTCTGTCCTGTCACATAACATTTCTCAGGCGTACCAATAGTCACTTCTGTCCTGTCACATAACACTTATATCTGCCGTACCAATTGTCACTTCTGTCCAGTCACTTAACACTTCTCTGGCGTACCAATAGTCACTTCTGTTCTGTCATAACACTTTCTGCCGTACCAATAGCCACTTCTGTTCTGTCACATAACACTTCTCTGCCGTACCAATAGTCACATCTGTCCTGTCACATAACAATTCTTCTGCCGACCAATAGCACTCTGTCCTGTCACATAACACTTCTCTGCCGACCATAGTCACTTCTGTCCTGTCACATACACTTCTCTGCCGTACCAGTAGTCAACTTCTGTCCTGTCACATAACACTTTTCTCTGCCGTACCAATAGTCACTTCTGTCCTGTCGCATAACACTTCTCTGCCGTACCAGTAGTCACTTCTGTCCTGTCACATAACACTTCTCTGCCGTACCAGTAGTCACTTCTGTCCTGTCACATAACACTTCTCTGCCGTACCAGTAGTCACTTCTGTCCTGTCACATAACACTTCTCTGCCGTACCAATAGTCACTTCTGTTCTGTCACATAACACTTCTCTGCCGTACCAATAGTCACTTCTGTCCTGTCACATAACACTTCTCTGCACTTCTGTACCAATTCTCTGCCGTACCAATAGTCACTTCTGTCTGTCACATAACACTTCTCTGCGTACTACTTCTGTCTGTCACATACACACCAATAGTCACTTCTGTCCTGTCACATAACACTTCTCTGCCGTACCAATAGTCACTTCTGTCCTGTCACATAACATTTCTCTGGCGTACCAATAGTCACTTCTGTCCTGTCACATAACACTTATATCTGCCGTACCAATTGTCACTTCTGTCCAGTCACTTAACACTTCTCTGGCGTACCAATAGTCACTTCTGTTCTGTCACATAACACTTCTCTGGCGTACCAATAGTCACTTCTGTTCTGTCACATAACACTTCTCTGATAATAGTCACTTCTGTCCTGTCACATAACACTTCTCTGCCGTACCAATAGTAGTCCTGTCACATAACACTTCTCTGTGTCACTTTTGTCTGTCACATAACACTTCTCTTCCGTACCAATAGTCACTTCTGTCCTGTCACATAACACTTTCTCTGCCGTACCAATAGTCCTTCTGTCCTGTCACATAACACTTCTTTCTCTGCCGTACCAATAGTCACTTCTGTCCTGTCACATAACACTTCTCTGCCGTACCAGTAGTCACTTCTGTCCTGTCACCTAACACTTCTCTGCTGTACCAATAGTCACTTGTCACATAACACTTCTCTGCCGTACCAATAGTCCCTTCTGTCCTGTCACATAACACTTCTCTGCCGTACCAATAGTCACTTGTCACATAACACTTCTCTGCCGTACCAATAGTCACTTTCTGTCATCACTTAAACTTCTCTGGCGTCCACAGCTTCACATAAACACTTCTCTGCCGGTCACTTCTCCTGTCACATAACACTCTCTGCGTACCAAGTCACTTCTGTCTTCAAACATAACACATTAGTAGTCACTTCTGTCCTGTCACATGTTCACGTACCAGTAGTCACTTCTCCTGTACTAACACTTCTCTGCCGTAACCAGTAGTCACTTCTGTCCTGTCACACATAACACTTCTCTGCCGTACCAGTAGTCCTTCTGTCCAGTCACTTAAACACTTCTCTGGCGGTACCAATAGTCACTTCTGTCTGTCACATAACACTTCTCTGCCCAATTGTCACTACATTACACTTGGCGTACAATATCATTCTGTCGCCGTACAATAGTCCACTTCTGTTACATAACACTTCTCTGCCGTACCAATAGTCCCTTCTGTCCGTCAGCTAACACTTCTCTGCCGACCCATAGTCACTTCTGTTCTGTCACATAACACTTCTCTGCCGTACCAATTGTCACTTCTGTCCTGTCACCTAAACTTCTCTGGCGTACCAATAGTCACGTCACATAAACTTTCTGGTTAGCTCACCTTCTGTCTTCACATAACACTTCTCTGCCGTACCAATAGTCCATTCTGTCCTGTCAATAACACTTCTCTGGCGTACCAATAGTCTTACATGTCCTGTCCATAACAACTTCTATGCCGTACAGTAGTCACTTCTGTCCTGTCACCTAACACTTCTCTGCCGTACCAATAGTCACTTGTCACATAACACTGCCGTACCAATAGTCACTTCTGTCCTGTCACATAACACTTCTCTGCCGTACCAATAGTCACTTCTGTCCTGTCACATAACACTTCTCTGCCGTACCAATAGTCACTTCTGTCCTGTCACATAACACTTCTCTGCCGTACCAAATAGTCACTTCTGTCCTGTCACATAAACACTTCTCTGCCGTACCAATAGTCACTTCTGTCCTGTCACATAACACTTCTCTGCGTACCAACAGTCACTTCTGTCCGTCACATAACACTTCTCTGGCCGTACCAATAGTCACTTCTGTCTGTCACATTCTCTGCCGTACCAATAGTCACTTCTGTCCTGTCACATAACACTTCTCTGCCGTACCAATAGTCACTCCCTATTTTTGATTCCAGTCCTTCCGTCACATAATACCAACTATTA